TAACGAATTTGGGAAATTTTCATCTAAATGTTCATCTAATAATTGAAAAGGAGACAAAAGATAAAACCAATTTAATGAGTAATGTAAAATGTTTTTTCTGAATGCAGTATTTATTAGAAAGCAAGGATATTACGTTAACTCTAAACAGTCATCATAAACATGTTCTCATATATGCTCAATCTGTTTTTGCTGACTTTTACCTTGGATAGCAGAAATGTAACTGAAAAATATATTTAAATTATGTTTGAAAGCATATGTTTTTACAAAATAAATGCATTATACTATATTGCTATACTGGATACCAGCAGTTGTCTTTATTTGACCTTACATACAGATAATATGGTAATGTGATAATCACACAATGCATGTTCATAATGGTATTGGCAATATAAATCAATAGTCGCTTCAGGCAGTTTGATTTAATCAGGGTCATGAATAAATTAAATTCCCTGAAGACCTAATAAAGTGTCATAAAAATTACTTTTGGTGATAATGATGTACAATTAATTGTAAAATACTTGTTTAATTTATTTAGCATTAGGAGGTCAAATCAATACACATTTTGCATTAGAATGACAGAATTTTGCTTTTTTAAAAACTAATGAATCTTTTTAGTTTTATTATTTTAATAGAGAACAATAAGCTCATTCCAGCTGTTTTTATAATATAGTGTAGACATTTTCTATGATAAATGTACATATCAGCCTGAAAAAATAATTTTGAAACTATACTTTTTAAAAAAAGGAATAGATACTCTAACACAGATGGTGATAGAATAGGGACTTTGAAAATCAAGTGATCCGATAAGTCAGGCAAAGAACCAAGGAGAAAAACAGTATTTGCTTCAATCTGTGTTTATTGCATTATTCCAATGTATTTATGTGAGATATTGCATTCAAGGAAAGTAATTAATTTCTAAAAGTTAATAAGAAACCTCACTTCTTATTTACTCAAAGAAGAGTGCAGGATCCAAAAAAAGAGAAAGTGAGCATCCGAAATGTCTTAATTCATTTAATAGGGCCTGCCTATTAAATTCCATAAGGATTATTATTTTTTATTTATAGATGTGTTTCATAAATGATGTTAAGGTATTTTTATCCTACACTTAGGACAAAATCTACAAGAAGTAATTTAATAAAAATTCTAATGAAGAAAACAATGAAGTATATTTTAAAAAAACCCAGGAGAACAAAATTTGGAATAAGAGCAAAATTGGTGGAATGAAAATACTTTTTTGGAACTGTTTAAAACCCATGGTTCAAAGAGCATGGTAAAATTTTCAGCAGAAGAAATTCCCATCATTAGGGCATCAACAAAAAGACTGTGTCCTTTATACTCACTGCCTTGTTGATCTGAGGAGTAAGCCTGATTAAGCTTTCTGCAGCTTAATGTAGGACACTGAGAAATTTAAATAGGAAAAAGTTTTTCCTCGTGTAACTTGGATCCAAATATTCCCATGGTTAATTGAATTGAATTTGCTGGATCCCCACAAGCATATTGGCATAGAATTTTATGCTGACATTTTTGGACTTTAAAGGAACATTTAGAGAACCTTACAGTATTCTAGACTGGAGTTCTAACTGGTTTCTCTGGTAGATCTTATTTCAGAAACCAGCCTAAGCTTGTCAAAGGTACTTCTAGCCGAAGAAGCCACCTGTGTTCCAAAAGATGATACAGATTTCCATATGCTTTTGATTATGCAGGGAGAATGTAGTCATTCCTCAGACTGATTGCAAATTTGTAACCAGACAACAGTTTTTCCACCAACAGTACATTCACCTCCAACTATTTTAAGCTTCAGTTAGTTTGCCTACATCATTTTCAAATGATAGATTGATAGAGACGAGAAAAACCTACTTGTCATCTGTAATACAGCCCAAATCTCCATGTAAATTCCCTCTGTAATTTCCTGTATTATTAAAGATCATAGACAAAAACCAGCACAGGCACTTCAGAGGCCAAGTGGCCATGGGATAAAATAATCCCTCAGCACTACTTTTTAAATTAGCCCTTCAAAAATAACCAGAGCTAATTTAATTTCCATTTGAAGGATGCAGAGAGCATAGGGAATGGCCTTGAAGGACAGGACGAAGAGCTACTACCAAGACCACGTGAGGTTTGAGCCCATTCCCAGAAACTAGTTTGAGTAAAGATCTCAGGAGACTCCTCCCTAGTTCATACAAAGATAAAGGGAGGGGAGCACATTCAGACTTACAAGGTTCTGTTACTATAGGTCCGTGGTGGCGAACCTATGGCACACGTGCCAGAGGCGGCACTCAGAGCCCTCTCTGTGGGTACGCGCACCATCGCCCCAGTCCTAGGCCTTCAGCTGGGTTTTATAAAACCTTTTCACTTTAGGCCTCCGCTGCCGTGTGCAAAAAAAAAAGGTTCAATCAGTCAATCAATTTCAACTTCTCGTGGGAAAAAAAAGATTTCGCAAAGTTGGAATTGATTGATTGAACCTTTTAGTTAGTCCCACCCAGTCTGCCGTTACCACCGAAGCCATGCCCACCCACTGGGCCACACCCACCCACTGGGCCTCGCCCACCCAGCATCCGATGATACATAAGTGGGTTTTGGGTTGCAGTTTGGGCACTCGGTCTCTAAAAGGTTCACCATCAGTGCTATAGGTGTTACCGTAGTTGTTATCTAAATGGCATTGGTTCCTTAATCTGGTATAGAGATGACAAAGGGTCAAAGAAACATATAAGGTAAAACTGTTAATTCAAATATCAGGAAGTGGCAGGCTTCAACCACTAGGGAGGACTTAATTTCACAAGAAGTTGAGAACTTTAGATAATACATTGTTAATTGAGAAAGAATTCCAGCAACCGCTCCTTTTCAAGAGCAAGTCCCTTTTGAAGAATCAGTATTTAAACCCCCCTATGCCTTTTTCTTTTGCCCACCAAACATAATACTAAGATGCTTGGCTCCTTCTTTTGGGCAGGAGGTCCAGTTTCATAGTTTCCTTTATCTTGTCAGTTATCAGATCTATTGTGATAATTGCCTTTCTCTGACAGTATGAGAACGAACTCCCACAATAGGAGAGTTACTGGGACAGTTTAAGTAATCTTACTGTTGACAATATGTAGCTGGCTCGATGTCTCAAAAATAAAAGCATGGTTGTGGATGAATGTACAGCTTAATGTAAATTGACTTGATAACTTTTTTTCTTTTTGTATCAGCATGATTCATAACTATTTTATAATTATTTGCAATTTTAGTGTGGTAACATGGCAAGAGAAGGTCTGCGCACTTTGGTTGTTGCCAAAAAATCCTTAACAGAAGAACAGTATCAGGATTTTGAGGTAAAAAAAAAAGTTGAAAGACAAATATTACACTGAGCTCCAGGAATGGCAAAAACCCCTATTTAATTCACATAAGTAATTTCTCCTTACTATAGACAATGATAGGTGAACTCCACCGTCATTGACTTCGTCATTGGCTTAATTTCTACTCCTTTCTTTTTCTGTTTTTCCTCACTTTCCTCTGCTTCATCTGAATCTTTTTCTTCTATTACTATGTTCATAAGTGTTTCTATTTAAGGGGGTGGAGATTTTTTTTTATAAACACTTCATTCTTTCTAAAAGTTATCCACGCTATAGTAGAAAACATCTCCTGCTCTATATCCAGTAAGTCTATAACAAGGTTTCAGTTTCACTCTTATATTTTTTGTTGTCATTCTGTTCTCCATTTCTAATATTCCAAGCAATGTTATCATTAATCTACGAAGATATCATATAAGCAACACCTGAATTAACTCATGTGCCCAAACTCCACAAAACTTACTTTTGGTTATCGTTCATATTGACTAGTGCAGTGGTGGCAAACCTATGGCATGGGTGCCAGAGGCGGTACTCAGAGCCCTCTCTGTGGGCACGTGTGCCGTCGCCCCAGTCCTAGGCCTTCAGCTGGGTTTTATAAAACCTTTTTGCTTTAGGCCTCCACCGCCGTGTGCAAAAAAAAAAAAAAAAGGTTCAATCAGTCAATTTCAACTTCTCGCAGGAAAAAAAAATCTTGCAAAGTTGGAATTGATTGATTGAACTTTTTAGTCCCACCCAGTCTGCCGTTACCACCGCAGCCACGCCCAGCCAATGGGCCACACCCACCCGGCACCCGCCGATGCATAAGTGGGTTTTGGGTTGCAGTTTGGGCACTCGGTCTCTAAAAGGTTCGCCATCACTGGACTAGTGATACAAGCATTGCCCTCTTTTCTGATTGCAACGAAGTTTGTAAATTAGAAGAGAATTGTCCCAGAAGCCTTTCTGTTTGTCTGTGACCTGTGACTTTTCCAGTTGCACCAAACTATAATTTTCTATAAAACCCTCCTTTCACGTTAATTATGTGCCAGGTTTTCAGGAATGCAGTAGTAAATCCTGAAATATTATTACATCTTCTCATGTGTGAAACTTCAGTCCAGATAGTGGGGTTTCTTTGATTCTATCAACTTCAAAAACCGAGATCAAATCTTGAATTTTACAGGTATAAACCATTTGGATATTTACATTTGTTTTTGTCTTTGGTATTATTTATGTCCATTTACTTCTGTATGCACATCATAGGTGAAATTTGAATTTCAGATTCTAAAGTGAATCTGTGAATCAAATAACACTCTAGGGCTTGCATTTTGGACAACACAAAAATCTTTCTTATCTACTTGAGGCTACAAATTACATTTTGTTTTGTCTTAGAGTCGATATAACCAAGCAAAATTAAGTATACATGACAGAACGCTCAAGGTGGCTGCAGTTGTAGAGAGTCTAGAAAGAGAAATGGAATTATTGTGTCTCACTGGAGTTGAAGATCAATTACAGGCTGATGTTAGGCCAACACTAGAGATGCTACGAAATGCTGGAATAAAGGTACCAATACTTTTTTTATTCTTCAGTTTATTTATATATATTGTTTTGTTCTCTTACCTCAGATCTGTTGCTTTAACTAAGAATCCAATCTGTTTCATGTGATAAATATAAGCAACTAGAAATGTGTCACTGCTGGTTTAACTTCTATAGGTAAAAGAAACACAGAGAGAGAGAGCATGACAGAAAGTTGATTTTTTGTAGAATACATTTGAATATATTAACTAGACACAATTACTTTGCCTTATGCAAAAAAGTACAGAAAATTCATTTGAATTTTTGTATTATCAGCTCTATACAACAATACTTACTAAGAGTGACCATACCATTTTTTCTAAGAATATGTCCACATATATATCTATTTACGTTCTACTGATTTAAATTATATAACTGAATACCTTAGTATTTCATATGTACAGAAGCTGGGATGGAGTAGATCATATTATTAAACACATTAGGATTTGCCTTCCAGGGCTTTAAATTTCAGGGGATTTTTTTTACATGTCTTGTCTTACTTTTTCTTTAATGGATTTATACCTTTTGGAGGACATTTTAATCTCTATTCACTATCCAGAGTTCCTTTGGTAGATGGACAGCCATATGAATTTGTTTATAAAAAACAACCTATTGGGACAATAATATTAGTTTATAACTTAGTTATTTCAAGGTTTAATTGGATAATATACATTTCAGATATTTGAATGCTTGTCATGAATAATAGTAATATGAATTACTATGATTTATAACAGGATTCAGAAAATAAAATCTTGCAAGAAACTAATTATATGGAAACATATATTTGTGGAAGAAAAGCGTGAAAATATATTTTACTCCTTTTAACTGTATCTGTCCAGTTAATAGATGACCTGAGGAGCTACCATATTTGAATAGATAGAATGAGTTTAAATGCTGATATTTCCTATTATTAAATACTCGCTTTTGCCTCCATAGACCCCTACAGCAAAGCAAAAGCAATAATTTGAATCTTTACTTTTTTTCCCTTAAGTTAATTTGAGAAAGATATGTGCACAGTTTTTAATATAATAAATGATTAACAGTTAAATTCTAAAATTATCTCATAGATATGGATGCTAACAGGAGATAAATTGGAGACTGCGACTTGTATTGCAAAAAGTTCCCATTTAGTGTCTAGGACCCAAGATATTCATATTTTCAGACCCGTAAGTAGAACTGCTGATATATTTTCCCCATCATTCTTAGCTGCTATTGTCTTCTTTCCTAGAGCTGAAAGATGTGTTGGTTTTCTGCAAATTTGTTATATATGATCAAAGAATTAAATGCAGAACAACATTAATTGCCAAACACCCAAATTTTGATCATGTGACCGCAAGGCACTGCAACAAGCATAATTTTGTGCACAAGCCATAAGTTCATTCTTTTAGCACCATCATAATTTTAAATGGTCACTGAATGAATGTTCATAAATTGAAGACTACATTTATAACACAGTTGTGCAGATAGTAATACAATGTACATGCATTTGGAGGACAAAGGAAGAGTGCATACTATGCATGCACTTCTCTGTAGCATCTTCTGACATGACTTATCCTGCTCATGTTGATTGGAGGTATGAAAAATCAAGGCTAAACCCAGTGGGAGTTCACATAATAATGAGTTGCAGATATTCATCTGGATTAAGCATCTAAAGGAGAAGTTTTAAGCAGCACTTAAAGTTCACAAATCCCTCTTTTTTATGATCCCATAAACACTCCCCCCTCCCTATTTAAAAGTTTTTCTAACTCTGTTTTACCTTTCATTCATTCATTCATTCATTCATTTATTTAGGTAACCAACCGTGGAGAAGCTCATTTGGAATTAAATGCATTCAGAAGGAAACATGATTGTGCTTTAGTAATATCTGGTGACTCTCTGGAGGTAATGGCCTAGCTTTCATCACTTGCTGATAATGTTGTTTGTGCAGATACTGTAGGTAGGTTGGTAGGTTTTCCAAAGGAGTCCCAAGCAGTGCCTTTGGTGAATCACACGAGTCACATTTGTTTTAAATCAACAAAACACCTAATACTGTAAATCTAACCCAACAGAGACATTCCACATTTTTTTGCCTGTTATCCTCTGTGTCCCCTGAAAGTAAAAAATAATAATAATAATCCTTAGCTGGATGGAATCCTAACAGTTTCAAAGACTCTTGGATCTGTCAAAAGAAAAAAAACTTTTGACAGTTGTGCTTCTTATATATGTATTATGCCACAGGATCCTCTCAGATACTTATTTATATTACACAAATTTGAAAACCAGTTTCTTGATTGTTTTATAGAAATTATTTTTTGTGTCCTCAACCCTGTTCTACTCAAATGACTTATGATCGTTTTTCACACTTTCGGCCTTTGCAACATCCGCGTGATCATATCATCAAAATTCAGACGCTTGGCAACTGACTCATATTTATGACATTTGTAGTGATCATCTTTTGTGACCTTGTGACAAGCAAAGTCAATGGGGAAGTCAGATTCACTTAAGAACTGTTACTAACTTAACAACTGCAGTGATTCACTTAGCTTTCTTGTAGCAAAATGGGGCAAAAGTCTCTTACCAACTGTCTCTCTGAGCAACAGAAGTTTTTGGCTCAATTGTGGTCATAACTTGAGGACTACCTTTCATTTTTGCCTAGTACTTCCCAACTTGACAGGTCTGTTGCCTGTTGGAACTCACTTTTTAATGGAATGAAGTTCTAAATATGCAATTCTGAGAAAAACTATTCATTCCTTTTCAAGAATTCTAAACTTCTGCGTATCTTTTCTTCACAATATTATCATATGGGTTTCCGTGTTATATACAAGGGGTCTGATCAGAGAAGGAATACTGAAGTTTTGTGTGCTTGATACATGTATTCTGTGAACAAACTCATCCAATGTTTAGTGTGCTGCTGTGGGAAATAATTGACCCTTTAGATGCAGTCACCAGTTGTATCATCTATAACCATGCGTAACCTCAACCAGATTATTTCTATAATGGATATTTAGTCCTTCACATCACAACTTAAGAATTTTGGCCCATCCCTCGATAACAAACTACTACGAGTCTATACCATTTAACATTTTCTTTCATGAACTACTATTTCAGGTTTGCCACCTTATTAGGGTTCTTTGAATTGGCTAAGTCAAAGTTTACTCTGTTCTTTGTATATTCTCTTATAGACATTTGTATGTTTGGAATCATGACTCGCTTGTACTTCATTTTAACTGATTCTTTCGTCAGTAATGGCTACTTGTTCAGGTCCTAGTGCAGCTAACCATTCCCAAACTATGACATTGCTTTCTCTGTTTTTAACAGTTTGTATGGGCTTCTTATTATGTAGTAGTGTTTGGTTTCTATCAGATAGAACAATATCCATGTAACCCCCACATTTCCATTTTTGATTCATCTGCTCATAGAACATTCCTCCCAAAGTCTGAAAGGTCATCTAGGTGCTTTTTGGCAATCTTGAACTGAGCATCAGTATTCTTTTTAGTGAACAATATCTTCTTCTTTGCTGCTTTTAAGTTTCCCCAACAGAACTCATCTTAAATTTGCTATCCCTAACTTTACAGAGCTTCAGCTGGCTGTGCGATTCAAACTCAACAGAAGCCTCCTAGAAATTCAGGGCAGTGTGCTAAATAAGAATCTTTATTGCAACTGGATTGCAGCCATATTAAACAATGGATTGCTTTCTGTCAGCATGAGGATACAGTTCCCTCTTATATATATATATGACAGCTTAAAAATTAATGACATCTCTTCCCTGAGAACAGCTGGCTCTCAGCAGCTACTCCATGCTGAATTCCATTTTTTCCCAAATGCTTTTTTGATGATGGGATCATGAACACTGACTTTATCCAAAGTGAGAGATGGGGATTACCTAAATTAAGCGGCAGCCAGTTCTAAAAGCAATTTATCATATTAACCTTTGCAGCTGAAAAGGAGTAAGCCAAATATCTGAGCTAGAGAAAGCATATACAAAACAGACTTTCTCACTCTTCTTGCACATCACCAAATACCAGTCAGGAAATAAAAGCATATTTAACCATTTTCAGTTTTAATTGAAGTAAATTCCAAGAGACAACTTCATGTGGGTTTACTCTCCTAGCCTTTTTCAGACTGGAAAGCATGGTTAGCCAAAAGACCTACAAGATATCCCACTAGTAGCAGAAATGTCCATCATCTAGAGAACAGCTCTAAAACATCACCAAAGAAAATTTGAAAGAAATTCTCAAACACAGTGAGATAGAAAGCAGAAGTCATTTTAGCAGAAGAAATCTAAGAATTTTTTAGCAGAGGAAAGGATATCGAGGAACATCTAGGGAGCTGCTACCGTGTTTCCCCAAAAATAAGACCCAGTCTTTTTTTTATCTCCAAAAGAGGCAGCAGGTCTTATTTTCGGGGATGTCTTTTTCCACAGTCTCAGCTCGCAGTGGCGGCACTCACAGCCTTGCCCAGCTGGCCTACTTCTGCGGCCACTTGCTGCCATTCGCAAGCATCATCCCCTACCTCCATTTTGCTGTCAGGGACCTTCAGGAGATGCCTCTGCAGCTGAGAATAAAGCTCTGGATTGATGCGCACGGCTCTCTCTGGCCTCCATTTTGTCCTCAGAGGCCTTCCAGAAAGGCCTCTACAGCTGAGAACCGAGCTCCGGATTGACATGTGTGGCACCCCCATCCTGCATTTCACTTATATTAGGCCTATCCCCCAAAATCAATCTAGGTCTTATTTTCGGGGTAGGGTGTATTTTCGGGAGAACATGGTAAAAATTGTCACTGATTTGATAGCACATAAGGTATAACAGGTTTCGGCAGCAAATGACATAGTAAGATAGAATACTGACCTTGTATTTCATTCCTTTTAGTGAAAATAAGGAAATGGGAAAGTTGGAAGGGCAACAACTATTATAGTAAGGCACAAAACAGGTGCTCAATCTGACCATAACGTTTTCCTCACTAGAGGAAATATGTGTCAGCCATTTTATTTTGGTCATTGATTAGCAAAACAATACACAAGAGTCACAATTGATTAAAGTAAAACCAGCTATAAAGTCATATGCCACAAATAAATATTGTAAGCTACAAGCAAATACAAGTAAAGTACAAATTGTAAGTTAAAGTTAATGAATTTGGGATGTAAAAATTAATATAGTAATCTTTTCATAGGTATGTTTGAAGTACTATGAACATGAATTTGTAGAACTAGCATGTCAGTGTCCAGCTGTAGTTTGCTGCCGATGCTCTCCCACCCAAAAAGCTCACATTGTAAAATTGTTGCAGCATCACACAGGAAAGCGTACATGTGCAATAGGTTTGTATCAATTTTGGTTTCCTTTCGATTGTGAAAGTAATTAATTATTTGGCCTCCTAGTCACAATAATGAAAAATAAATGAATCTTTTAAAAAGATTGCCACAGTATCATGTAAAAATAAAATGATGATATGGCAATGCTTAAAAAAAATGCTAAACATAATAAAGGAACAATTTTTTTTCCACTTTGTTTTCTCAAGATTTTTGCTAAAGCAAATCAAGTACAATTAAATCTCAGAACAATGACCAGCCAGAGTTTGAAATTGTCAGCCAGTATTTTTTACTGGACTATACATAGCTTTGGATTTGAAGGCCAAAAGTTACTTTTTTCTACATTTTGTAACATCTCCTTTGTAGTTAATAGGGCAGCTTTGGATATATCTCCCAAGTCATGGGGAAATGGTGATAATAAGGCTTGTAGAGCACATGATAAGTGACATCCTCAACCATCACAAGTGATGACCATATTGGTTCTGAATTACACAATTTTTTCCCTGGCACCTTGCCATCTAGTGGCATGTTGAGCCCAGGAGCCACAACATCTCCCCTTCAACTTCTTGCTTGCTGAAACAGCCCATCATGCTCAATCACAATTTATTCATTGTTTTCTGGACTATATAGAAAATTGGGAAATGTTTTAGCAACAAAGGTGCAATAGCATATTTACTTTTTTTGCTTTTCTAAGTTGAAAAAATAAAAACCGTTTTTAATTTAAAATGTAATTCAAATACCTTTATAGTAATACAAGGTGAAATGAAATGCAGCTAGTAAATATGAAATATTGCCAAACCAAACTTAAATATTCTGCACATGTTTTTTCAGGCGATGGAGGAAATGATGTCAGTATGATCCAGGCAGCAGATTGTGGAATTGGAATTGAAGGAAAGGTATATTTTCAAATTAGATTAAATGAGTAATTAATGATTTTATCCATCCTTAGAATAATATTTTGTGAAGGAATTCCAGCTAGCCTTAGGGATAGGGAAGGAATGACTGGACCTTTTGGGACATACTTTCAGAAAAGATAACTCCCACCACCCCCCTAGGATGAAGATGACTCTTTGCTTCATACTGTGATGGACCCTCTCTGTGCTGGTTGCTGTGCAAGAGGAGGGGAGGGCAGTTTCCAGCTCCATCTAGTTCTGCTTTGCCATATCTGCCCATTGACCTGTCAAGTTGTTAGGTCCCGGGTAGGGCCTGTGTGGAGGGTAGCGCAGGAGTGATTCCTTCTTTGTTGTTCTTGAATTGCCTGAACTGCCTTTCACCGAGAAGGGGGAAGTGATTCTGACAGGGGAGGTGGTGAAAAAGAATATAAATTTGGCCTTAAAAATGGGGGGAAGAATGAGCAATACTTATGGGGGATTTTCAGAAAAGATTACTCATTCCTGAGAAAGAGGAAAGCATAAAAATAACTCAAAGTAACTCTGTATTGATTCTTTTGGGTATAATATGGGTCAGGGAGAAACTCTTGAGAGGCTTTCAAGATTCTGTTATTCTACGTTGCAACAATGAAGAGCATTTCTAGCATTCCTGTCATGCCTATTTCTTGACACTGCCTATCTCAGAGGACTGACATATTTGGAACGGTCCTTCAGATATTCCTCTGGTTGGGACTCGGTCACTCTAAATAGGATTGCTGGATAGCATTCTGCAGACAGGATAAAAACAGAAACTAGTTACATACATTTTGTTGCCTTCTCATCATAGTGTAGTCCTGATCACATATCAGTTAAAGTGGACACATTCCTTAGTTTTCTCAAATCATGACCTCTTTTGGAGGAGTCTCCTTTGTAATTTCATCTGCGAGAATTCTGCTTTCTGACCGGGCAAGACAAAAACTGGCATGCATTTCTTACTGTTTGTTGTAGACCTAACAGACATAGGTTAAGTTTGTTGGGCCTAGAAGATCAGCCCTTTAATAGTGAGAATTGTTCAACCCCCAAAGAGATGACACCCTCTAATGACAAAAGCTGAGTACTATGGCTAGGAGATTGGGACTCAAATCATCTGCTGTCCAATCTAACCAGGTATCTTCCCCAGTTCAGTTCTGCCTGTACCCTGCACCCAAACTACAACAACCCCCGGGTCCAAATAGATGCTACATCATTTGGTGAAATGTTAAGCCAATCCTGCAGAATATAAACAAGGCAGTCCTAGTGGAGCTTTTGATTTTATCAACTTGAGAATGTTCTTTGGGAAACATTTGACCCATTTCATCAAGAAACAAGTTCTCAACAACAACAACAACAACGATGCTTATAAATCAGTGAGGACAAAAATTTCAGCTTCTATCCTTGGTGTTACCCTTCTATAACACTTTTCAGCAGATGCAGGATGCAGTACATGGTCATTGTCTATTTCTTTTAGTATGCATTTTTAGGGAAAGCAACACTGTCAGTAGTGCTTCAGTGACTTCTGATACTATCAGGCAAAACACCAAATATATTATCTACAGAGAGAAAAGGGTTATTCTTTCTAACTGAGCTTCTTCAAGGGATCTATAAATCCAAGTAACCTGTTCTTCTCTCCCACAAAAGTAATATTTGGGTTTGGATTCTCATTTTGGCAAAAGCTGATGGAGATATAGAATTCATACCTGTATATAGGGCAATTCTGAAAATGCCCAATTTCTGCCCAAAAAAAACATCTTAGTTTCTAGAACATGGGCGCCCAACCTTTTGGTTTGCCTGGGCTGCATTGAGTGAAGAGGAAATGTCCAGGCCACATATAAAATATAGAATACAGTTTTATAATATAAAATCACATAATAATGTTCAGTTTACAACCTTGTGAGCTGCAATTACTAGCTGTCCAAAGCCACATCTGGCCCCTGGGCTGCAGGTTGGACACACCTGTTCTAGAACTTTTTTGAAAGTCGCTCTCCAAGTTAATCTAAGCATTTTGAGAATATCAAGCTAAGTAAATTACCAATTCTTCCACTGTTGCTCAAATTTCTCTTTGTTTATATGTTTATACATATCCAAAGTGCTACACTATGTTTACATTGATCATTTTATCATTTTACTTTTTATTTAGGAAGGGAAACAAGCTTCCTTGGCTGCTGATTTTTCTATAACACAATTTAAACACATTGGTAGACTGCTGATGGTACATGGTCGAAACAGTTACAAAAGATCAGCAGCTCTAGGTCAATTTGTCATGCACAGAGGCCTTATTATTTCAACTATGCAGGTACCTATTTTTTTTGTTTGTTGTTTATGTGGATTTCCATCAGTACGCTGATGACACTCAGCTGTACATATCCACCCCGGGCCACCCCAACGATGCCCTTGACGTGATGGCCCGGTGCCTGGAGGCCGTGAGGGTCTGGATGGGGAGGAACAGACTCAGACTCAACCCGTCCAAGACCGAGTGGCTGTGGCTACCAGCGCCTCGGCATAGTCAGCTGATTCCATCGCNCTAGCATGTCAGTGTCCAGCTGTAGTTTGCTGCCGATGCTCTCCCACCCAAAAAGCTCACATTGTAAAATTGTTGCAGCATCACACAGGAAAGCGTACATGTGCAATAGGTTTGTATCAATTTTGGTTTCCTTTCGATTGTGAAAGTAATTAATTATTTGGCCTCCTAGTCACAATAATGAAAAATAAATGAATCTTTTGAAAAGATTGCCACAGTATCATGTAAAAATAAAATGATGATATGGCAATGCTTAAAAAAAATGCTAAACATAATAAAGGAACAATTTTTTTTCCACTTTGTTTTCTCAAGATTTTTGCTAAAGCAAATCAAGTACAATTAAATCTCAGAACAATGACCAGCCAGAGTTTGAAATTGTCAGCCAGTATTTTTTACTGGACTATACATAGCTTTGGATTTGAAGGCCAAAAGTTACTTTTTTCTACATTTTGTAACATCTCCTTTGTAGTTAATAGGGCAGCTTTGGATATATCTCCCAAGTCATGGGAAAATGGTGATAATAAGGCTTGTAGAGCACATGATAAGTGACATCCTCAACCATCACAAGTGATGACCATATTGGTTCTGAATTACACATTTTTTTCCCTGGCACCTTGCCATCTAGTGGCATGTTGAGCCAGGAGCCACAGCATCTCCCCTTCAACTTCTTGCTTGCTGAAACAGCCCATCATGCTCAATCACAATTTATTCATTGTTTTCTGGACTATAATTTATATATAGAAAATTGGGAAATGTTTTAGCAACAAAGGTGCAATAGCATATTTACTTTTTTTGCTTTTCTAAGTTGAAAAAATAAAAACCGTTTTTTAATTTAAAATGTAATTCAAATACCTTTATAGTAATACAAGGTGAAATGAAATGCAGCTAGTAAATATGAAATATTGCCAAACCAAACTTAAATATTCTGCACATGTTTTTTCAGGCGATGGAGGAAATGATGTCAGTATGATCCAGGCAGCAGATTGTGGAATTGGAATTGAAGGAAAGGTATATTTTCAAATTAGATTAAATGAGTAATTAATAATAATATTTTAGGATTAACAGATTCAAGTTATAAGACAACGTAATTTGTGATAATTATGCAAACAGACTTCTCGTATGTAATAGATCTTTGCATTCGCTACCTCTTTCTTTTGGTCTCTAAAGTAAGACATATGGCTTTTATAGATGTGCATAAAGTTATAAAACTTGAATTTCTTTCTTAGGACCTCACTACTTTATTATCACTCTATATACTGGTATGATTGCTGCCCCTCCCTGAATTCCTGTTTCTGACCATACAAAACTCCAGAACTCTCAGATTACTTTCTAAATAATTTTATTTAATTTGCTTAATGTGACTGACCTTTTTTTCCACAGTTATTTTATATTTTTGTTTTATTCTTCTCTGGCTTTATTCTTCATGTTTACAAATGTCTTGTGAAGCCTTTTGCCAAACCAACCATATGGCCTAAGGCTACACTTCGGAAATGTCACATATATAGTAAGGATTCCCTGTGTCTGCTTTGTTTAGGTGAGCAACCTATAATTGATTTGTACGTTCAGTAGACAGATCAGATATAGCAGTTTCTCAAGATTTCAACCCTCTTTCTGGAAAAAAAAAATTTATACACCTAGCATGCCCCTGGAAGATTGCAAGGGGTGAGACATAAGTTGACATAGGTTGAATCCTTAAATCCTTCTGTTAAATAGTGCCCAGGAGTTTGCCCTTAAATTTGTTTGGCCCTGATCCTACTGGCTTTTCCAAAGTGCTTAATTTTCATGATGTACAGGCTGAAACTCTTCCCAGATAAGGGAACAGGATCCTGATGATGATGTTATCCATTCAATCGAGTCTGACTCTTGACAATTCTGTGGGCCAGGTCTCTTCACATCTTCTGATTTTGCACTACTTTGAGTTCCTCTGTGTTCTTGCTGGTGTCAGCTTTGATGGTGAACAGGATTCTACCTCAGCCAATTCAGATGACCCTGTCTAGCCAGAGTCCAATTCAAAAAGGACCCAAGTGATTTTATCCATCCTTAGAATAATATTTTGTGAAGGAATTCCAGCTAGCCCTAGGGATAAGGAAGGAATGACTGGACCTTTTGGGACATACTTTCAGAAAAGATAACTCCCACCACCACCCTAGGATGAAGATGACTCTTTGCTTCATACTGTGATGGACCCTCTCGTGCTGGTTGCTGTGCAAGAGGAGGGGAGGGCAGTTTCCAGCTCCATCTAGTTCTGCTTTGCCATATCTGCCCATTGACCCTATCAAGTTGTTAGGTCCCGGGTAGGGCCTGTGTGGAGGGTAGTGCAGGAGTGATTCCTTCTTTGTTGCTCTTGAATTGCCTGAACTGCCTTTCACCGAGAAGGGGGAAGTGATACTGACAGGGGAGGTGGTGAAAAAGAATATAAATTTGGCCTTGAAAATGGGGGGGAAGAATGAGCAATACTTATGGGGGATTTTCAGAAAAGATTACTCATTCCTGAGAAAGAGGAAAGCATAAAAATAACTCAAAATAACTCTGTATTGATTTTTTGGGGTATAATATGGGTCAGGGAGAAACTCTTGACAGGCTTTCAAGATTCTGTTATTCCACGTTGCAACAATGAAGAGCATTTCTAGAATTCCTGTCATGCCTGTTTCTTGACACTGCCTATCTCAGAGGACTGACATATTTGGAACGGTCCTTCAGATATTCCTCTGGTTGGGACTCGGTCACTCTAAATAGGATTGCTGGATAGCATTCTGCAGACAGGATAAAAACAGAAACTAGTTACATACATTTTGTTGCCTTCTCATCATAGTGTAGTCCTGATCACATATCAGTTAAAGTGGACACATTCCTTAGTTTTCTCAAATCATGACCTCTTTTGGAGGAGTCTCCTTTGTCGTTTCATCTGCGAGAATTCTGCTTTCTGACTGGGCAAGACAAAAACTGACATGGATTTCTTACTGTTTGTTGTAGACCTAACAGACATAGGTTAAGTTTGTTGGGTCTAATCCAGGAGGCCTAGAAGATCAGCCCTTTAATAGTGAGAATTGTTCAACCCCCAAAGAGATGACACCCTCTAATGACAAAAGCTGAGTACTATGGCTAGGAGATTGGGACTCAAATCATCTGCTGTCCAATCTAACCAGGTATCTTCCCCAGTTCAGTTCTGCCTGTACCCTGCACCCAAACTACAACAACCCCCGGGTCCAAATAGATGCTACATCATTTGGTGAAATGTTAAGCCAATCCTGCAGAATATAAACAAGGCAGTCCTAGTGGAGCTTTTGATTTTATCAACTTGAGAATGTTCTTTGGGAAACATTTGACCCATTTCATCAAGAAACAAGTTCTCAACAACAACAACAACAATGCTTATAAATCAGTGAGGACAAAAATGTCAGCTTCTATCCTTGGTGTTACCCTTCTATAACACTTTTCAGCAGATGCAGGATGCAGTACATGGTCATTGTCTATTTCTTTTAGTATGCATTTTTAGGGAAAGCAACACTGTCAGTAGTGCTTCAGTGACTTCTGATACTCAATCAGGCAAAACACCAAATACATGATCTACAGAGAGAAAAGGGTTATTCTTTCTAACTGAGCTTCTTCAAGGGATCTATAAATTCAAGTAACCTGTTCTTCTCTCCCACAAAAGTAATATTTGGGTTTGGATTCTCATTTTGGCAAAAGCTGATGGAGATATAGAATTCATACCAGTATATAGGGCAATTCTGAAAATGCCCAATTTCTGCCCCCCCCCCCCCCAAAATCTTAGTTCTAGAACATGGGCGCCCAACCTTTTGGTTTGCCTGGACTGCATTGAGTGAAGAGGAAGTGTCTAGGCCACATATAAAATATAGAATACAGTTTTATAATATAAAATCACATAATAATGTTCAGTTTACAACCTTGTAAGCTGCAATTACTAGCTGTCCAAAGCCACATGCGGCCCCTGGGCTGCAGGTTGGACACACCTGTTCTAGAACTTTTTTGAAAGTCGCCCTCCAGGTTAATCTAAGCATTTTGAGAATATCAAGCTAAGTAAATTACCAATTCTTCCACTGTTGCTCAAATTTCTCTTTGTTTATATGTTTATACATATCCAAAGTGCTACACTATGTTTACATTGATCATTTTATCATTTTACTTTTTATTTAGGAAGGGAAACAAGCTTCCTTAGCTGCTGATTTTTCTATAACACAATTTAAACACATTGGTAGACTGCTGATGGTACATGGTCGAAACAGTTACAAAAGATCAGCAGCTCTAGGTCAATTTGTCATGCACAGAGGCCTTATTATTTCAACTATGCAGGTACCTATTTTTTTTGTTTGTTGTTTATGTGGAAAACAATTTATAGAACCTTTTTTTTCTAGCTTTGATAACGGCTCCCTGTTATAATATACTACATATTATTAGAGGTACATTGACGAATAGAAAAAGGTCCGACACAAAAGCAGACAGAAGATAAAACGTAGACAAGGAGATATAGTCCCAAAGGATTACCACCCCATTCATCGTCAGTGTCACGAAGTTTGTGAAATAAAGTGTCTCTTCGTCAAATAGATTTCTTATACCGAAATTTGTTGTAAGAACTATTTTAAAATTGTTTTTCTCTTAAGGTATGCAACCATATACACGATGTTTCCAGTCTTCTCTTTAGTGTTGGATCAAGATGTAAAACCAGAAATGGCACTATTGTATCCTGAGCTTTACAAAGATCTTACCAAGGTGAGGGCATTGAAATCATGCCTGTCACAAGGCAAAAAAGAAACAAACTCCTGATGAAAAGTCTGCAAAGATTGGGTGGTTTAGTGTGTGGCTTGTATTGCTTGTGCAGATTTAGTAAATAACCTACGTGACTGATAAAAATTGCTTTTATTTTTTGTATATTTTTCCCCCCAAAAAGTTCATTTTTAATTTCATGTTCCACAAACATGATCCTTTTAGTGCCTAAAATAAAATGTACTCAATCTATTTAGTCTTTTTGGTTATTGTTATTTTGTTAAATCACCAAAATAATGCTGCAGTGTAGTTTAAATGACTTACCTAGTATATTATAATCAGGGCTTTTTTCCTCATAGAACGCCCAGAACGGAGTTCCAGCACCTTTTTTGGATGGAACCTTGTAGGGTAGGCAAGGCGGGTTGTATGACGTGTGTGAGTTCCGGCACCGTTTTTTTTAAAGAAAAAAAGCACTGATTATAATATAAAGCCAGATTCCCATGTGAGTTTATCTCAGTCATTCTTTTAAATATGCATGGGCATTCATTCATCATGAGGTAATACTGCCTCAAAGGTTTTCTGAACTCTGGACTAATACCCTTAATCTAGAATTATCTTAAGACTAGCTTTCAACAAATATCTTGATTTTGGCCTATATCTACAAAACTGAGAACATTAGTTGTCATGTCCCTGGCAATGACAAGCTTGATAAATAATTCTAAAGAAGTCAGATGTTTGCAACTCCTTTGTGTTATTTTTGGGTTTCTTGTATTATTGTATTATAGTTGTTGAGTTCTTAACAACTGGGAAGATTCTTAATGGGCCAACATGAAGATTGTTTCTCCTTTTATTTAGTATGTCAGATGCCTTTTTCTGCAGTTGTAAAGTAACCTAGTCTTTGTCTTTTATTCTAGGGACGATCCTTATCATTTAAGACCTTCCTCATCTGGGTTTTAATCAGTATTTATCAAGGTGAAGTTGTGCTTCGTATTTTCTGAACTAATGAACAGTATTATTTGAAGTTTCACAATTACATTTTTTCATTTACATTTTCATTTTAACATTTCATTCACATTATTTTTAATGGCTGTTTAAAATGTGACACTGAAATAACATAAAACCTCTTCTTAATACCACATAGGTCAGGGGTAGGCAACCTTGGCTCTTTTATGACTCGTGGACTTCAACTCCCAGAATTCCTGAGCCAGCCATGCTGGCTCAGGAATTCTGGGTTGAAGTCCACGAGTCATAAAAGAGCCAAGGTTGCCTACCCCTGACATAGGTAATTTGTATGTTTGTTTGATGCAGGCCACTTTAAAGTGAGGTTTTTTTTAACGAGTTCCTTTCATGCATTCCCATCACAGTGTAGGCAGGCTTGGGCATTGGATCATGTCCCCTGAGTCCATATGGATAGTTGAATATCATAAAGGTGTTTTATGTGTTTTCTGCATTGTGTTCGTATGTGCAAATCTCCTTTTGAATGTATGAATGTCAGGGATATAGTCAGCATCATGACGTGAGATCATGGGGGTTAGAAATATTTGAATGGATTTAATCAAATTCTAACTAACACAGCCAGAAAAAATAGACACTTGAATTTCATATACTGCACAATAGTTTTCTCCATTGCACTCTAGGAATCTTATTTCAAGAAGTTTGCATTGTAGCATTAGTTAAGAATTTACTTTCTTTCTTTTTTTAACATATTTATTTTCATTTATCAACCAGAATAAAATACAAAACAGAAAAACAAACATCCAATACTAACAATGAAAAAAATTCTTTCTTTTTAAGTTCACAAATAAATGAAGGCATGTTGTACCCCTAAACTAGCTTATTTCTATGATAGATGCTGGGAATGCATCTAGTTCTTAACTTTTACAGCACTGTTCTCAAAATGATTGCAAATCGCTTTTTATAGTGAAATAATCCAACGTTGGAGTTGTAGGACACATGCATGTAACACTAGTCTGCACAGTGAATTGGTAATAAAAATGTGTATGTCCATGTTTCTTAGGTGGCATTTTGATGTATGGAGCCCTTCTGCTTTTTGAATCTGAATTTGTCCATGTTGTTGCCATTTCCTTCACGGCATTGATCCTGACTGAACTCTTGATGGTTGCTCTCACTATACGCACCTGGCATTGGTTAATGATCGTGGCTGAAATCTTCAGTCTTTGCTGCTATGTAGCTTCTCTTGCATTCCTTAATGAATATTTTGGTGAGTAGCTTCTCACATGTATAATACTTAGCTGCTTTTTAAAAAAAAATATGCATGTTGGAAAGCCTAATAAGTGCATCTAAAACATGAAGAGGAATTTCTTTAGGAAATTCTTTTCAATAATACAGAATTTTATTAGCTATAGTGCTGAATTGCTATAGCTGTACAAAATGTATTAAAAGAAATGTATTTAATAAATAAAGATCTTAAATGTTATTTCAGAGGCTTACATACATACTACGAGCTGAATTCAGACTTCTGCTGGGCTAACATATTTTCTAACACTTAATATAGATTTTAAAAATAATGTTCATTTATCCTATGTTTTTATTAAAGATACATATATCAATCTTTAGATGCTACTAATCTCTTTCTATCTTTAAGATCTTTCTAATAATTCCTTTATGATTTTATTTTCTCTTACTTGCCTGCCCTTCTATGAATCTGTCCTTTGTTGTTCTGCCTGACTGGAGCAGGTATAGGCAGAGTGTCTTTTGGAGCTTTCTTAGGTAGGTATCATTGCTATTTCCTGAATGATAAGATGCCACTTAGAAAATCTTACCTAAAAGAAAAGGCAACTTGAAGACGTTTGAGTTTGTGTGTATATATGATTTTTTTTCTCTTGGTCTCTCTACATACACATGTACACAAAGGTGAAGTACAGTATTGGGCCTGTCAAAAAGCCAAGACAAAATGACTCAATTTAAATCAATTTTCAATCTGTAATTAAAATTTTAATGGATCATCCATACTACTAGTAGTCCTTGACTAACAACCACAATTGAGCCCAAAATTTCCACTGCTAAGCAGGACATTTCTTAAGTGAGTGTTGCCCCATTTCACAACCTTTCTTGCCACAGTTGTTAAGTGAATCACTGCAGTTATTAAATTAGTAACGTGGTAGTTAAGTGAACCTGGCTTCTCCTTTGACTTTGCTTGTCAGAAGGTAGCAAAAGGTGATCATATGACCCTGGGACACTGCAACCGTCATAAATACATGCCAGTTTCCAAGCATCTGAATATTGATCATATGACCATGGGGGATGCTGCAACAGTTAGAACTATGAAAAAATGGTCATAAGCCATTTTTTTCAGTGCTGCTGTAACATTGGTCACTAAACGAATGGTTGCAAGTCGAGATTACCTGTACTTGATTTAATAAAATTATAGCCTTAAGAAATATATTCTGTGCTTCTGTGATGGTTATTGTATAACAAAAAAGTTTTCTCTATTACTTTTAAAATAAAAATAAATATGAGGTAATCGTATTCAGTCTCTGAGATACTGAGAAACTGAACAAAAACAAAGTTGCATTTATGTGTTATTTCTTGTAAGTATATTGAATACATTTCTATTGTAACATACAAGAATAACATTTGAAGAGCTGCCTCTGTTCTTTGGTGTATTTGCCTTTGAACAATGATAGAATTATGTTTCCAGATTTGTCTTCGGACAGTCATTCGGACTGCTGTGAAAACGAATGATGAAAAACATTTTTACAAAAGTCAAGTAACAGCATACTTTGTTGTAAAATTAATCATGTCCTGGAATATATTTCATAATAAATGTTTTTGTCTTGAATCAAACATCTCTCCTACATATCCATGTACATTTCTTGGCAACACTGTCCTCTTCTCTTCTCTTCTCTTCTCTTCTCTTCTCTTCTCTTGATTTTGATCTATTTTAAGATTCTCTGCTAGTCTGCCATCCAAGTACAGTATCTAACCCTGCAGTCCTTCCTAAAACATGTCACAATGTGTCAGTGTCACTTGCCCCTTTTCCCCTGTATAACTGATGTTCCTTTTTTATTCCCATAGATGTTGCCTTTATCACAACAGTGACCTTCCTATGGAAAGTGTCAGCCATCACCGTAGTAAGCTGTCTTCCACTTTATATTCTGAAGTATTTAAAACGTAAATTTTCTCCTCCAAATTATTCCAAACTTACCTCGTAAATGTGACTGAACACCTGTGTTTTCCATCAGTACGACTTTAGCTAGAGATTGCTTCAGGTGTACTCATTCTACTTAAGTCTGTGATAGATTAAACAAACGAGGGAAATGATTACAAGAAATATGGAGCAAAACAGCACAAAGAAGATGAAGAAGATGGATACTTCTGTTAAGTATTACAGCAAACTTGATTGACATAACTATTGAGTACAAAAACTTCATTTTGTATGTGGCTTTTTAACAGTTTGAGTTAACAGTGCTTCTGAATTATATAATTGCTACTATAAAGGATTTATTCCTACTGCACTATTTTTCTGATCATGAATAGAAGATGTTGTTTCCTATAAACCTAGGCCTTCCTAATTTCTTTTGTAGAAATATTCATTCCCATGTAAAGTATACCATGCCTAGAAACTGTAAAGCTCATTGTCTATACTTGCTGCTATATGTAACTCTGATATATGCACTGTATGAATTATGTACAGCTGTCTGTGTAGCACAGTATTTGTTTGGGATCAGTGGTCCTCTTTTTTATATATCCTCCATTACTAGCTGCATTAAGGAATCTGAATGGCTGAGGAATCGACAGCAGCCTTTTAACTGTAAAATGGAGACTGGGTTGCACAAAATATTACGAAAATAAACTTCTGTACATAATTACATTACATCTACCATTCTGTACAGACCACTGTAAAATTAATGTTCAGCAAATGTTTTACAGGCTCCCTATCTGCTTCATAGTTGTAAAACTGCACTCTAGAAGTGTCAGCACATTACTAGACTTTTCCCATATAGAGGTTAATTTTGTATGAAAAGTTCAGCAACAGTGCGTCTGCAGCCTTCATTTATTTTACTGGCAGGATATACTAAAGCCATTTTGAAATGATTGGAGGTTATGCAGTGGCCATGCCTTAGAGATCAAGTCCAAACAGTGAAACAGTGAGCAACTGTGAATACAGAGATTTCCTCCCTTCTGATACCAAAAGAGGGCTGATTCATGTCTGTTCCTCCCTGGGGTAGCAGACTGATTATTTTGGTTTATATGAACGAGGGGCCCCCACACTCCATGCGAGTATAGGCTGCATCTAGAGCTTTGAACCAGACTAGTAAATGCACATTGTAATCTGTTTACTTAAGGTAACTCAGGTAAAAAAGAATGACATGGGCCTAATAGTGGTAGAAAATCTATCATCTTCCAGAATATGATTTGTGTACTTTTGAGTTTCTACAAAACAAGAATAAAGTAAAAGGACTCTCCTTAGTCTAATGTAATCTTAATAGTTGTCTAATCATATGTACTGTATTGTTATCTAGAACACCTTACTTTCGTGATATTATTTTCTTTTTTTCAAAAGCTACATGTACATAGCGATTCCATATAACCTGATACTTCTGAAATATAGATATAAATTAGTTATGATATCATTTTTGTTAGCCCGGTTCACAACAAAATTCACTGTATTTCATCTTGTACAACCATAATCTTATACCACAGTTAATTTAAAAGGATGTTAAACTGAAACACTTCCAGAAGAAGACTGTTGTTGAACTACTTGAGTTCTGATCTCCTTTGTTTTGAAGATATTTAATAGTTAATCTTGCTTTTAAAATGTTTTGAGCCATTCTTCATTATAAAAGCAATAAAATTTCCTTTCTACCAAATATTTTTTGGAAGTTTGTCAAATAAAATATGTTTGATAGCATTTATTTTATACCCTTTTATAGCCCTTTAATGGGTTAGAGAACAATCAGTTAATTGCAACACCCACTAGATGTCACTGGGAAATTGGGGGGGGGGGGATTTGCTGGCACACTGCTTTTTATCCTGTGCTTTAACTATTACTGAAAAAAGGAAACTGAAACATCCCTTGTTGTTTTAAAACCCTGATAAATAATTAGATACAAATCATTAGCCCTCAATGAACAGAATATCCAGCAATACTATATGCAGTCTCAATATTATCTGAATGTTTCAATAACACTAAATTCCCATGATGATGATGATGCTATCCATTCAGTTGTGTCTTATTCTCAGTGATTCTGTGGACCAGCTCTCTCTGCACATTATCCACTCTTGTATGGCTTCTTTCAGTTATGTTATGCTCTGGTTGGTGTTGGCTTTGAAAGTTCCTTCTTCCAAACTTTACTCCGTTGTTTTTTTATTCTTCTTCCAAGTTCCAGCTTCCTCTGTTCACTTCAGGACACAGTTTGAACAAGAAAGATGAAATAATGCAACCTTGCCACATTTCTTTCTCTATCTTGAAACAATCAGTATTATCCTACGGTGTTTACACAGTGGCTTCCTGATTTGTGTACAGCAACTGTGCCAGCTTGACCAGATGTGTTGGCAATCCCAGAACATTTAGGGTTCTCCACAGTTTATCATAAGATTCAATCGAAGGCTTTCTTGTAGTCAATAAAGCAGATGTACATATTCTTTTGATATTCTTGAAATATTTCCATGATCTATTGTAGATTTGCAACACATAGACAGTGCCATGACCCTTTCTGATGCCAGCTTGAACATCTGGTAATGCCCTTTCAATGGTCGGTGCCAAACGTTGTATGATCTTACGGAGAATCTTGCTAGCGTGAGGGATGAGGGTAATTATGTGGTAATTGGAGCAATGTTGGAGTCGTCCTTTTTTGGCAATGGAATGAACACTGTTTCCAATCCTGTGGCCATGTGTTCATTTCACAGATATTCTGGCACAAGGCTGTGATAGTTGTGGGTGGTACAGTCCTCAACAATTCTGTGGGGATGGTATCGACACCTGGGGTCTTGTTGTTTGGCAATTGGCTCATTACCCAATTCCCATACTAATATACACAGTTCAACGTTGGCAAAACAGTTTTTACCCAAAAAAATGAAATACATTTTTGGTGGAGTAAAATCCGTGAAATCAATCCCAATTGGATGAATGCAAATAGTTTTATTCCAGTATTAAATAGTTTTACTCAAGTACACAAAAATTCAAAAATATTTATGTATATTATTTATATAAATGGGTGGGTGGGTGTAAGACACCTATCACAAAACTTTTCTTCTCCACTTCTTACCTTTCACGAAAGATAAAATCCAGTTCTACAGAACAATTGTAAATGAAATCATATTTAAGCTGTACTTTCCAAAAAGCTAACAAACAAACAACTATATCTCATGAAATAAAATTGGAAAAAGGTGGCACCTTTTCTACAGCTCTTGTACTTAAGGTTACCTAGCTGCCAACAACCTGACCTAGGTGCATATCACGTAATTTTCCAAGTATATTATAAAAGACTGCTGGAAGCTGCAGGATTACAGTGGCCAATTTATGCCATGATTTCACTGTATCAAAGAGTGTAAACCATGGATAAATGTCAACAACCTCAAGATTTCAGTTTTAACAGCTATGATGATTATGCTATTTTTGTGTGAATAAAATCAAACTGTGCAGGAAGTAATTTAACATTCTCCTTTATTGCCAAACCTGTATAGCCTCTGCCAGACTCTAAAAATACTGCTGTATTCACCATAATTTCTTCCTTCTACCTGCAATGCCATTTTTGCTTTTCTCAAACGCCTTTTCTCTATGCAGATGCCGCTGTAAGAAAAGCTGAAGAATCAGACCCTGCTCCCTGCAATGAGCTTTGTTTTAATAGCATTCTAGGCTGATATTACTATTATTATTATAACTCAGTTGAAATGAAAATAATTAAAAAAAAAACCTTCAATGTGCTTGCCCCCCTGCAGGGAAGAAAATCAGCAGCGGGGAATCGAGAGGAAACAGTCCCAGCATTATATGTAAACAAACAGGAGGTACAATATCTTTTAAGGCTATTGAAGATGCCTAAGAATTTCTCTGATAAACAAAACACAGCCAGAGCTACATGATTCCCAACCAGTATTAACAACCTAACAGATGCCCTCAGCAGGGTTCACAGCTGTTAACTGTGCGAGGAGAATTTTGCTCAGCCAATTGTGGGTGAAAAGCTTCTCCTTCAGACGCAGAGCTACAGTCAAAGGCCTATTTGCCACTCCATCAGCTGAAAGCCATAGATTTGATGAGTGCCTTCCACAGCAGAGTCAGCACAGTCAGATGCCGGGCTCAGAAAACATTCATGAACTGTTCTACAGTCACATGTCTTTCCCTTCTGCTGTTACTTCTCTTCCAATGTAGGGTTTGGACAAGTATTTAGCTATCTTCACTGTCTGTCTGTCTATCCATCTATCTAAAATTTATAAAGCTTCCCATCTTACTGTGTAACTCTAGGTGAAATAAAACTCTGTAGAATAAAACAAGCAATTAAAACACATGTTAAATAACCGTTGAAAACAATATAAAATACAGGTAATCCTCAGCTTCACAACAGTTTGTTTAGTGACTGTTCAAGAATACAACAACACTGGAAAAAGGTGACTAATGACCATTTTTCACACCACCACTGCAGTGTCCCCATGGTCATGTGATCAGAATTCAGGCACTTGACAATTGACTCGTGACCGTGGCAATGTTCTGGGGTCATGTGATCCCCTTTTGTGACCACCTGACAAGCAAAGGTAATGGGGATTCACTTAACAACTATGTTACTAACTGAACAACTGCAGTGATTCACTTAACAACTGTGGCAAGAAATGGGGCAAAACTCCCTTAACAAATATTTCATTTAACAATAGAAATTTGGGGCTCGATTGGGATTGTAAGTTGAGGACTACCTGTATAAATGAGATCACAGGAAAATGCACCAACATTTCACATGCAATATAACTATCTCCTGGACTCCCTATAGTCATGGAATTCCCTGCTTGGAAAAAGAAAATCACGTTTTAAGAGCTTTCCAGAAGGACCTTTCATCTACATTTGCACTTGCCAAATTGTTACTTTGTATGTCAAGAAGAACCTAAGGAAATGCAATCACATATCTTGAGAAAAAGGGGGAGATGAGAAAGCAAAATTTTACTAAATGAAAAGTTCTTAATTTAAATTGTCAGAGAACCTCAGGTGGTTCTTCACATGACTTTCTATCTAGATAAATCTTTTTCTGCATGTCAGCACTGATACATTTTTTTATAAATAAAAGATTAGGGCTGGAAAGTGGCTGGAAAGATTAGGGCTGCCCATGTTGGTTGGGAATGCAAATTCTGAACAGACATAATAGTTAAAGAGACAAAAATGGAGACTTCTAATAGGTAAAGAGACAAAAATGGAGACTTCTATGGCAGAGCAAGTTCAAAGGGAAATAGTCTGCAGTTTGCATGAAAATAAAGCATTATAATTGGTTATGGATCTAATTTAAATGTCTCTGTCCTAATGTTCAGAAGTTAGTGCCTCAAATTCTAAATTGCCAGTAAAATTATCTGGCAAGTCTCAAGTTTGATTTGTTTTAATATCGGAATATATTGAGTTGGCCAAGCCAGGTAAGAAATAGTGGTAGACAAATGCTCTGTTTCCTTGGGCATATTTTCTTGAAATCTAAAAGATATTTTATTCTATTCTCCTGAACACTTTATAGCAGGGGTGTCAAACTGCCAGCCCATGGGCCAGAAGCGTCATGCCGAAACCACACACACACCATTGCCAGCACTGGAAAAAAAGTTGCGATACGTCGCGACACATCACGTGACGTTACGAATTTGACACCCCTGCTTTATAGAGTAGATCAGTGTTTCATTTCATTTCTCTCTTAGTGAAATGAAAACACAAAGAAAAACAACTGATACCACAATTCTAGACAGAATAAGACTTGGTTTTGATTAACATCAGTAAAGCTGTTCTGCACAATTCTTTGTCAGAATAAAATGCAATGCTCAGAGAAAACAAAGCAGTCTTAAGAAAAATCACATTACTTGAGATAAATATGAAGTAACATACATCTAATATGAAGTAACTAACATCTAATATGCATGAACTAGACAGGAATTCAAATAACTTCATAGAGGTATAACAAGGAAAGGAAGAAGAAGCAAGAAAGGTAGAAGACATAAGATTATCCAGAACTAGGAAAGATTGAAGCCCACGTGAAGCAGTGATCTTGGGGATGTAAGCTGTGGTGATATAAAAAGATTGCGGGATAAATTATGAAGGTATTGAGAAAGCAAATGAATCGGTGAGAGACTTCAGAAAATAATTAGACCAGCAAAGAATGGATGGAAAGAGAGATTAGAAGAGCAAATGTGGTAAGAGGAAATTCATCAGAATGGGACAGTTCCAAGATGAAAGGGAAAGGTGGGCGAGAAAAGACAACCAAGTTGGGTAGTAAATAATTTTGGAGACAATTAGATGTCAGTACTGTTGCCA